TGAACACCTATAATTATATACAAACGCTTGTAGTTTTATTTTGCCCATGGACCCTAATCTACAATATTTCCAATTGCTATAATCCGATATACCACTTGTCTCTATATTAAATGTTTATTCTTGTTTGTCTATAGTTTCTTTTTTACTAATACGAACAATCCGTGATAATTAATTTTAAGTAAAAATAACTAAACCAATAACTTTAATATAAAAAAATATAAGAAAAAAATAGAAATACTAAACACTATTTTTCCTAAAAAAAAATCTTTAGTGCTAATACAAAATTGGCCAAATTAAATGTTGAGTGATTTTGATTCAGGGATCAAAAGTGGTATCTGAACTGGGCATCTCTTACTATATTCCTTAATCAAAATACGCTATGAAAATGATTTTTTCACTTCACCAATTGGCAAAATTTACCCTCAATCTCCCTTTCACCTTACTAGCTCGATCAATTTAATACTCCCTCTGGTTCAAAAAATAAATAGCCGCACTTTTTTATTTACACCATTTAAATTAAAAAACATAATGTATTATTATGATTAGAAAGCAATTTTATTCATATAATTTTTTAATTATGCTTCATTTTTAAATAACACATATCAATTATATTATCGTGGAATAATACAAGTAAGAATCATATGAGGTTATTGGGGAAATAAATAATAAAATTTAATAAAGGATATATGAAGACAATTTATAGGGATTAACCGTATTAATTGAAAAAAAAAAAGTGGGACTATAATTTGAGACAAAAAATAGACCTATTCATTTTTGGGGACAAAGGAGAGTTTTTTTTTTTTTTTTTTTAAATTATAATGATGTAGGGTTACTCACATGTTAATGCCCCAAGGGTAATTATTTGGGGCTTTACTGAGTTATTTGGGATATGGGCCTTTATTAAACGAGTTCATGGGTCTCAAAATATAAACCAATTTTAAGATTTTTTGCATACGAATTAAGGAAATAAATTTAACTCCATTAAAATGGTAATAGAAACACAAAAGATAAATTGATTGTCCCAATTACCCACTTTATCTTATATAATAAAAATTTGTGGGAAGATAATTATATTTATTTAATACAAATAAGGACAAGAAGTTGAGAAAAGAAACATTTATTACTCCTTACAAAAATACTCAAGATCATCTATATCTGTACATAAAAAGTAATCATTCTATCACGAAACGATTATGTTTTTGGGCACAGAATGGAGTAGGTTTTAAAGGATTTTGTTTAATTTTTGAAAAATAACCTTATCTGGAAAAAAATTTTTCAAAAATAATCTATAATCTTAAGGGTGTTCAAGAAAATCAGTACTGGACAAAAAATTTTTTGGTAAAACAGAAAATTACCTGATTTTTTTTGTTAGAAAAATAACTTCATATTTTCAAAAGGGTGGAAATTTTTTTTTTGGAATAATTAACAAACTTTCATATTTATAAACATGCAATGTTATTAATTCACTAGTCAATTTGTAGCCAATAGGTATAGTTAATTTAATACTAATACAGAGGTTGTCCTGGGTTATCCATATTAAACTTGTGAAATGTATCTCAGTTCATATTCTATGTAATTGTAATTCGAATATAAGTAATGTATGAATTTTGTAAGATTTATGGGGAATTAGAAAGTAAGATTGGGCAAGCTAACATGGTGGTGTTTAAATTTGAATGTTGTTTGGAGCAAAGTGAGCAAAGGAAGTACCAACT